CATCAGGATGAGGAGGAGCTAGATCGAGGCAAGTCACACCGAGCGCCAGTCGGGGTAAAGGTCTCATACGAGAGAAGTAGAAGCTATCCACAGCAGAGAGAGCCGTTCATGGAGTGGGAAAACGACCAAGGCATGAATACCTTGTTCAGTGGAAGGGACTTCCGGAGAGTGAGGGAAGTTGGGAACCTTCCGAAGCCTTGTGGCAATTTCGAGATAAGATTGACCAGTTTCACTCTAGTCGCGCAACGAGGGCGTCGCTAGAACTAGTGGGGGAGAATGTCACAGACTGCCAGCCCAAGACCGAGCCCAGTTCGTTCAAGGCTGCCAGAGACTATCTTTGCCACGTTTTGGGCCTTCTAGAAGACCCAGCAGAGCTGGCCCATCCACCTTGGAGAGAGAGAAGCATGATAATTATTTGAAATTATCTTAGAGATAATTCCCCTAATTATTATTTAATTTAGAGTTATAGATAGAGTAGGGCTCTTTTCTGACCGTTGATGTAATTTAATCTTAACCGTTGATTGTAGGGGGCTCCAACTATAAAAGGAGGCTCACCCCCACCTCATTTACTCACTTCAGATTGAGGAATACAAGTTAGCATTCACTCTAAACTCTCTCTTCTCCATTTGAGCGCCCATCTCTCTATTTTTCCCATTTCCTTTATTTTTGCAACGTTCTAAGCATTCTCGTTTAGTGAAGGTTTGGGTTACTTAGCCGAGTTTCGACCTCGAAAACGACTAAGGCCGCACGAGCTTGCTAGCAGCAGTCTAGCCCCGTGACAATAGCATCTATCTAATTCAAAGTTGAATATAAATGAAGTATTTACTTACTCCAAAAAAATGACCTGTCTGAAAGGGAACCAACCCCAAGCGACCACGTCCAGCCTCTTCTCCACTTTGTTTTATGACTGGACTAGTACTTAATTATATATTAATCTACTTACTTCCAGTGACATGACTAATTCAGCATCTGCTGAAAGATAAAACTATTAATTTATTTGTATGTATGAGTCTTCCTAGTGTCCAACATGAAATTATCTTTTTGTCGGCTTACCAGGCAGGATATTCAGGCCATTAAAAAAAAGTGTAAAAGCCAAAACTCTATGAAAGATGAGATACCCTCCCTACATGGCTGTGATGACAGTGATGAACTTGGGATTAAGCGTTGAGAAAAATTCGATATCAGTCTTCTCAAACATTTCGACAGTTCACCTAAGGGTCGTACTACACAGTTTCTTTGTCAATCATTTCGATATCAGTATTTGGATTTTCATCAAAATCATAATTGGTAGCTATAAATTTTAAAGAAAATAATCTCATGGGCCGCTGATTAAGTCAATTATGCTTCTTCATGAAGATCTTACAGGGAAAAAAAGATTGGGTTGGCGAGTCTAATCAAGTTGTTTTCTCATTATTTTTTCCTTGTCGAAACCGTCATTGTTGCGTTTTTTTAAACTGGAATTGTGTCGTCCACAAGGGAAGAATATGCATGAATATTCGTGTATCCTCTATGTTCATCGTTCAACTATGCATTTAATGATGACAGTTCGATAGATATCTCGGTTATTCGATACGAATCGTCAAAAACTGAAAGTATATTGCTTTCTTGAGATGTATGGGTTACATTATGATTGTGATTTTCGCAACCGAACATCATCAGATCAAAAACTTAAAAACACCAGCAGAAACGACAGCAATGGAAGCAAGTTTAAATCTAAACTAAACCAGCAGAAACGACAACAATGGAAACAAGTTTAAATCTAAACTAACTTCTAAATCTCCGGTACGAATAGAGTTATGTTTTGTCACATTATACATCTAAGCTGCATTTATAAATCGAATCGATTCACGAAGAACTGTAAGGCACGGAAAACAAATCTATATCATTATCCAATGTCAAAAGGGGCAACCAAAATGTAGCAACTGTTTTAGGATTGAAACAATATGTGAAGTATCAGAGTAAAGAATGAATTCAATTTGATGCTCTACATATGGCCAGAGACTTGTGTGTTCTACAAGCTGTGATTAGTCGAGTCTAATAACTTCTCCTCCCTTGGATGTCAGCCATGGGAATCTGACTGCTAGACTTGGTAATTTTGTTCCACTCGTTTTCTACTCGAAAGAATATCCATTGGAACCTTCTGAGCATCTCTAAGGTTGTAACGGTAAAAACTGTTAAGTAGTTGTGGCGAAGATGAGCAGACAGTTTGTACGTCCATGTGCACCGCAAGACCAAGTTGCTTCCAAGAACCCAAAAATAAACCTACAAAGTGAACGAAGAGGCAATTACGTATGCAAGCTAAGTGTTGATGTGGTGTAAGCATCTTGCGTAAGGAAATAGCATGGATAATTAAGAGAACCTAAGACCCTTACCCATTGTCGCCCATATAACAGATTGGAACAACAATTTGGTTTGTTGAACTTGAAAATCCTAGTGAAGACACTGAGAAAATAAAGGGAAGAGAACATCAATATGCATGCATGATCTAAATCAATCAATAGAGCATTTGTAGCATTTTAGGGTTCGAATAAAGTAAATTGAGTTGAAGCGCATAGTGCAAAGCAAGAAATGCCAGAGTGCTCTCACAAACAAAAGCTATATATGTCACTGTCAGGAAAAGGATATGTCATCATACCTAAGGTCCCAATCACGAGTTACGTCCCAGTAAAAGGAGTAGAGTGACAAAACTTGAGAAAAGCCAGAGACGACGATAAACATATGTCCACCTATCAGGTAAGACGTGATATTTAAGGGCTGAAAGAAAAATCACAGGGACTGCGGTCGAATATTTTAAAGCTGAAAACCACATGAAAATAATGTTAAAATAAACACAGCTGTTAAGGAAAATAGATAGAAGAATAATCAGTAGGTAGCTCATATGGGACAAACCAAGTGTGAGCAAGCAAACCAAAGCACTGAAAAGCACAAGGGTGTGCGAACATGATACAGATTACCAGTTTGCAGTTCAATATCCATGGCTGACTTACATGTATATGAATGAGAGAAGGGACTCAAACGCATTACCATTTAAAAGGGTCATCTTTTCTTTTGTGTCCTTGTACTGCCGCAGACATTGCATTAGCCGCCAAATAAGGAATAACGAGCACTACTGGAATTGCTACCGAGTGACTACCACAAACTGAGTCAGCTTCAAACCATGCAATTGTTGCAACTACAGACAAGCCAAACCACATTATTCATCTAAGAAGATCGACTTTGTGTCAATAAAAAAAGCTTTCCCAGTTCAAAGTTATGGTATGAATCGGACAACTCCATATCTAAGCATAAACATATTTAGTACTTCATAAGACAGTATCTGTTCAAAAATAACTCTCAACCATTTAACAGTGAACGCTCACACCTCTAGCATTCACGGTGCTCAACCCGGGACCTCAAAGAATAACAATAATTCTTCTATCACCGAGGTCACTTGGTTCGTGTCATCCAAGCAATTCAATAGCATTATTCTGAGCATTACTTACACAATATTAAGCCTCAGTTGAGATAGTTCTAATTGAATTACCTGGGAATGAACCATTCTACAGACTGAACGCTCCAAATCTGAAAATACCTTGACATGGTAAAACATTAGAAACAATTAGGTAATAAATCCAGCTCCACTTATGGAACCAAATTCTAATAACATAACCTCAAATAGGGCCAGCAGGATAAGTAAGGATGAGAAATCAAGAAAACAGTTAATGTGGCATGTGAAATTTGTATCTAAACACCAGGAAACAGAAACATTTTCCACAATAGTAAAGTACGATATAGAAAGTTTCACGGGATTTTTCTGCTAAATGGTACAATCTAATAATTAACAGAAATGAAATAAGTTGTGTTATAGGCTCATACCTTGGCCATGGATGTTAGAATGTCAGCCAAGAAGAAGTCGGGAAATGAAATGGGCTGTCATGCAAAATTAAACAAATAAAAGATGTGAATGCTTGTCAATAATAGAGAACCTCCGAGTAAATGCTACTTAAACGGAAAAAAATCAAAGAGAGTTAAGAGAAAATACATCCAAAATGAAGAAAAGATAATCAGAAAATGCAGCTTGCTAACTCAAGTACAAAGGAAATAAAGCACACTGGAGACTTGCCTGAAGTGGGAAAGCTATCCGCCAGAGTGTTCTCAAAAAGAAGTAACGAGAAGGCAAATAAAAAATATCAAAGGGGAATACAAGAACCAAAGCAAAAGCAATATAGGATTACCTGCAATTTGTATAAAAAGGTCAGAGCCATCGATAAATATCAAATAACCCATGGTTAGATGATATCCTGGCAAGCCTAGAAAATGCATTCTACGTATGTACAAGAGATGACTAGCAATCACATCTGTATATATTCATACATATATGCACAAATCATTATTTGCATATGATAGGTAGTGAGAAATTAACAATCAAATAATTAAGTAGTAAGGCCATAACCAATAACTGCAATGGTTGAAAGTTAAAACTAATACAAAAGGCTAGTGTGTTGCATATGCAGTTCAAATTGAGAGACACAGAAAGAACATAATGCCGTGAAAAGGGCAGATATTACACTGGTTGTGATGCAGCCAATGCTACTTCTCCATGGGAGTAAAGATAAAGGTATGCTGTCATGCTAGTTGGTACTATAATTGTCGTCCATATGCTACACTGCACATATCAAAATAGAAACAGAAACAGAAATTACAAAAGGAGCACATTTTACTGGTCATATTTGCACCACAATCTAAGAAACAAATTCTCAATTAAGTATACAGAAGGTAAGGATTTCAAACAAACGAATTGCTTTAGAATAGTTACCTTCCATATTTCCCTGTGAGTAAGGTGGTTTGATCAAGATCAAATTCTAGCATAATTAACAGTACTCTCTGAGAAGACCCATAAGCACACTCCCCACAACCAAACCATCATTGTCTACAATTGCAAGATCAAGAAGTAAGATTATAGAAACATCTAAATCAAATAACAATCTTTAGTAAAACTCAAAAAATTGTTAACTAACCAAAAAAGGAGAGGATTATAATATAAGAACGCCTCGTACAAGAACAAGTCTCGCAGGTCTGCATTCATTCTCATGACTGAATCCCATCCAATCTATTTCAATAAAAGGAACTTCTTTAACATAACAATCAAGAATTTACAAGACAAATCCTCACTTACAACAAAGGCATTGCATCTAATTGTATAATACTAAGTACTAACCTTGCAACAAGTGAAGCCCCATGCCAAAAAAAACAAGACCTGAAAAACCAATGCTTTAGAAGTTCATCAAAACTTGATTTCAAAAAACAAGTAAATTAAAATTCTGATTCAATTTTCAAAAAAAAAAGGGGGGGAACAAACAAACCTGAAGTCTCCATAGAAAAAGGGGAGAAGGCATTATCGCTGCTGTGGTGTGCATAATTGAATTAGTAACTTTCATGTCACCCAGCACCAACCGGAAGCAAAATATTTTCTTGAACGCTATTTCCAAGTTCAGCAGCCCTTAAAAAGATATATTAATTTTGGTAGACAAGTTTAAAATTTAAATCAAAGGTTCAACAAATAAAAGAAAATAAATGCAAAAGAAGAAGAAGAAGAAGAAGAAGTTAAATTTTAACTTACCAATGTCAGTAGAAACAGATTTTCCGCCAGGTTTCCTAAGTTGAGGACTTTCAAACATGATGAATTTATTTATCTCCTGAAACGGTAAATTCGAGCTTAACTTTCCCCACCATGAACAATACTATTAAAAAATGACGAATTTACAATTAACACGAAACCAGTGATAGAATTAGAATCAAGCTGAAATGTCAGATCCGGAATGAGAAGAAGGGAAACAGAAAGAGTTACCGGATATCGGGAGTGAAACGGCGTCGTTGGTGAACGGAATTATCAGATCTGTGAAGGAAATTTAAGAGGTGGAAGAAGGATTGCGAGGGGGAGAGAGAAGATGTTCATTTCACTTCAGCACGTCGTCAGTTCCAAATTGCTTGCTTGGCTTTCAAATCATTTATTTTCCTTTCTTTTTTCCAACTATATTATGAATTTTTTAATAATCCAAAAAATTATTCGAAGGCTGGTTGAATACATGAAATTTTAAATCTAATGGGTTAATTGTGGTTTTAGTCCCAATTTTTACCTTAAATTCAATCACTTGTCACATCTTTATAATTACAATTACAATTACAATTACAATTACAATTACAATTACAATTACAATTACAATTACAATTACAATTACAATTACAATTACAATTACAATTACAATTACAATTACAATTACAATTACAATTACAATTACAATTACAATTATAAGTAATAATATCAAAATCTAATTGATTAACGACTTTCCAAATACACCTTAAATATCAAATTTTAACAAAGTAGAAGGGTTAAAACAAGAATTAGATGTAATTTATTAAATAATGTCATGAGCTAAAGCTCATACCGAGTAAAAGTTTAAAAGAGAAGGAATGTCTTCATTACCTTCACTGAACATATTGAGGGATTTCTCCATGTTATTGATTCATTGTTGGTTAAGCAATGTTCTCCTTTAATTATTTAGCTTCTTTTTTTTCCTCCAGTTTTGGTCGTGTTTTCCAAATAAATTGGCTACTACATTTGTTGTTTCTTCATTGGTTTCGATAGGGTAATTCAACAGTGAAAATAAAAACATTTTTAACTTGCAAACAATTCATCAGAAGTAGTTTTATTGTCAACTACAGATCCATCACTTGTAGCAGAACTCGTGACCCTTTTGTAAACCGGTGTGCTGCTATCGGCAAGAGCTTGAAAGTGATCCCCCGTGGCTATAAGCAGAACCCGGTCCCGTGCTGTTGTGTCAATGGCTTGGTGAATATCAAGCACGACGGTAATAAAGTACGACCTTTCTTGCGGCTGACACCAGTGACAACTGGCGTGCGCAAATGTTCATTAGTTCAAATATTCATCCACCAAAATAATTAAACAATTTTGATGGACTTTTTATCGTCATAAAATTATAGGAGATCAACTAAGAATTCATCCACCAAAATATTCATTAACCCACACTCGATTTCCCAGGCCAACTCTTGTCGTTCTTCAACAAACTTGCTCCACCTTCCTTCCCTGTCCATTTCTCTAGCATAAGCCCCTCTTTTGTCCCCATATCCCCATTTTGCTGTCTCGCTCTGATCCCGTTGATCCATGCTTTTGTTACCGTAACCATTTCATTTTCAACCTCTGTGTCTCTTGTTTCATTTAGTTCTTCTCTGAATAGATCAGAAACCAGTTTGTCGGAACCGATATTGTCACAACTCGTTAATGAACTTGTTTCTTTGACATGATTCAACAGTTGCAGCGCCCTTTCTTCATCTTCTTCCAGTTTTTCTACACTCTGGAAATGCTTGTGTTTTATTCCTGCTAACAGTTCAATGGCAGTTTAATTAGTTAATTTAATGCTTGTTTAAGGATTATTCTTCCACTGGGACATAAGCACAAGAGACGGACATACTCTGCGTAATGGCATGACTTTGATTGAAAGATGAGAATGAGTCTTCTTCTTCATCATCTTCTTCCTGTCCATAATCCAGCACTGAAAGTGGGCTGTGTTGTTCATTCTCTTCACTTGCATAGTTATACTGTGTCTTCAAAACAGACAAATCCAAACCATTAAACAAATTCAAGTTGTCGACATATACATGCATATAGCCAAAGTCAACTATAAGTTTCACTAAACGACGACATATTAAGTTGTTGCTAACGTAAATTAAAGCATATAGGACCCTCTCTTCAGCAGGCGAAGACACACACACGATTTCCTTAACAGATACGAAGCACTGACTGAATAATTATTTGCTTACTTTGTGTCCATTCGCTGCATTGGCCGCTGCTACCTCTGCTTTCGTCTCCATATGATCCTTGGCATCAACTTCATATTCCGAGGAAAAATCACTGTCGCACCAGCTTGAGCCATTGCTTCTACAAGCAGTAGAAGTGGATGGCGTCGTCGTGGAGTGATGATCAGGGGAAGAAGAAGCAAAACCCGACGGTTGGGATTCTTGGTCAACCGAATCACGGAATGATTTCCAACGCAAGATATCTTTAACTCTCACCGTCGTCATTTTGGTTTCACCCTCGACCTGTGAATTCCTTTTAGATAGTTTACGTGAAAGGTTTCTAGGCAGAATCAAAGGAGATTAATTGCAGTAATGAAATGGATGTTTTTGACAATGTATATCATTGCCCGGAAAGCTGAGATTGTTTTCGAGGCTTTCCTGGGAAATGAATTGAACTCACTTGAATGATAATCATGGAGGAGGAAATCTTTTAGCAAATGCTTTCCTTGTTTAGGACGGACAATGGTTGAAGAAGCCATAGCTGGAATACTGAAGAGTGAAGTAGTGTGAAAGTGAAAGAAGATATAAATATATGAAAGCCAAAGGGGAAGTGAATGAAGAAAGAGAGAGGTATCTTCTTCTTCCATCCAGGAAGGAGATGATGGTGAATAGACAGGCTGGAAAAAGCCATGGATTTGGAGTAAAACAAGATTCAATGAGATTAAAATATAAACAGAAACAGAAAAGACAATGGAGGTGGAAGCCTGGATGTTTCTGACCTGAACCTTACTTAACCGAGGAATATTATTAAGATTTGAGTAAAAAAGAAGCATGTGGTCGATGAGAAGTCAGAGAGTATACGATGGAGGTCTGACTCAGTGATTCGGACTCAATGCAGGTGGATCTTGTCGTTTATGAAGTCCCAAACTCCCAATCCATCTTTATCTTTGGACAAGATGGAGGCGAAGGGGCCAATGAAGAGAAAACAACATTGGAAGCAATTGGGCCATTGATGTCTGGTTTGGACCCAAGATCTGGGGCATTGCACCCTTACATCGATTTCACTTTTGAAAGGAAGTTGTCATAGACTCATAGTCCACCATGGATGATTCGTTGTTGGTTGGTTGGTTGGCCAGTGTACTAATAACTTAACTGATTCACTCTCTATGAATTCACTGTGTAGTTGCATCTTTAATATACGGTTAAAGAAATGTATTATCAAAAATATTAATATTTTTTTAATATTTTCGGTAAAGCGTTACCTAAAACATTATTTTTTATCAGAAATGTTAATTTCGTCATCTAATTTCCGGTAGAAAAATAACATTTTAGTTATTGCCCAATATTAACATTTTCGGTAGAAAAATTAATGTTTTAGGTGGCGATTTACCGAAAATATTATACATTTTAGGTAGTGCATAATATTAATATTTTCGGTGGAAAAAAATAATATTTTAGATAGTATTTTATCGGAAATATTAAAAAATATTAGCATTTCCGGTAGTGTATTTAATTAGCCGTATATTAAGACTGTCCTACCTTAGACATCTCGATTTCACCGAATTCTTCTATTTGAAATATTTATAATCTTCTATTCAAAAATATATTTATATATAATAATGAATTATTTTAATAAAAAAACATACTCCTACAAGGCTACAATTATTTCACTTATAAAATGTATACTAATGAACAGAACTCAAGAGATTTATTTTTTTAAATTAATTAAAATTATTGAAAATAAGAGTAAAATATATCATAGATCTTCAAACTATAGTCAAATATTTTTCGATCATTGATTTTTCATAAATTATTAAAATAATCTAAAACGATTACTATAATCTTATAAAAAATAATTAATTTTTTTAAATAATTAGTAAATTTATCAATCATTATAAATAGTTATTAAATTTATTATATTTTTTAATAAATAATTATATTATAATTTTTAATACTAATTAAGAGTGAGGTCCGCAAACAATGATTAGTGTGGAATGGACAGATTCGAAATGATAAAAATGATTGACAGCTTTAAATCCTTTTTTCTGTCAACTTTTGAGGGGAAGTCTATTTTAGTCTAATATAAATATATTATCATAAATATTATTATTTGTTTAATATTTTTGATAAAAAATTATAAAAAAATATTATTATTGGACGTTTTATCAGATTTGTTAATATATCCGGTAAAGCGCTATCGAAAATATTTTTTTTTTAAATGTTAATATTAGATATTTTACTGGAAATGTTAAAAATATTAATATTTTAGGTAAAAAATAATGTTTTAGATAATTTTTTACCGTAAATGTTAAAAAAATAATAATATTTCAGATAACATCTTTTTAACCGTATATTAAAATTGTCTTAAGACAGAATTTTCACTTTTGAGTAGTTTATTATTTAGTGTCAATAAAGGCAGTTAAATCTTGGTGATCCGTCCATTTAATACTTGTTTTTCTTTTGGGAGGGATATACTTATCCATTTTAATACTTTAAGCATTACATTAATCAATCATTGCAAGTTGATCCAGCAAGTAGTATTTATTTTATAGTTAAACTGTCACATAATAATTAGAAATAATTAAATTAAATAAACAATAATATATAATCCATTTTCCCGTTACTAAACTAAATAAGTTTCCTCTATTAAATTTTTTATACTTTTATTAATGTAATTATG